CACACTGCCAAGAGCTCAGAGAGGCAAAGATTCTGTTTGCCAGATCTGCAGTCCCTCCCGTTGGTTAAGAGAGGTAGATCTGAGAGGGGTGACAGATAGAAACCCCACCTGCCTATGTCAGAGAACCCAGGCTGGCAGAAACCAAGCCACTGTGGGCATGTAATTATGCATTGGGGAATGGTTCGAATTGGACCTCGAAAAACCTCCTTTCTTACCAATATAACACAGCAATAAGCTTTCCACTGCTTGTCCAGACTGAACTGCTAAACCTATGAAAACACAGTATGCAGGGTTAACAGCAGGAGAATGGAGAAAATCTTGTTCCCCAGTGATACATCAAATGCTCAAAATCTCATTGGTGATCCAGGCAGTCTGGTCAATCCCCAATCTTGCTTTGCAGTACTGCCTAGACCTGCCTGATTCAGGGATCGAATCACACAGTCCATAACACACAACTGACTCCACTCCAATCCTCCTCCACTAGGTATGTCGGCTTAGAGCCAGCTTGACCTTGTAGACTTGAGTTATGCACCCTCCCCCCACTCCCCAGACAATGTTGGGCACACAAATTGCAGTAGGGTGGACAGGAAGTGGATTGACAGGGAGATAGGGGAAGATATAGAGACAGGATGAGATACACAATGATCGAGAGCATGGCCATAGAAAGGAGAGTAGCGAATTAACATTTCATTAACTTTACACAAGAATCTAATTTGCAATATTTCTTAATACAAAATAAAGGATTATCAGATTTCCAGAAACATTTTAGGATTGAAATTCCTTAATCTGTAAGAATATTTTATCTTAAAATTTAAGATATTGCAAGAACCAAGATTGTAAACAATTCTTAAATTTAGTCTTATTTTGGGAAATAGTTTTCTGCAGTTCTTAAAAAGAAACCGGCTTCCAAATTCAAACTAAATTAAAACATTTTCCACAATTTTGTTAATGTTTTACACCTACTTACAAGTTAAGGCAAGCTGAAATTTTAGGCTTCTTATTTTAGGGGAAGAAATGCGTGTGAAAATTTGTACATTTGACAATTTAGAAATCTGAGTTCTAAATTGGCAAATGTAAGGATCATTCTTCAACACATTTAATTCGATATATACACATTTCTTATGAATGCATCTGTTAACACTGCAAGCCTTAAAAAGGTAATTTAATGAAGACCACACAAATATAATTTATATTGTAATTAAATTTACAAATGTAATTAATATCATCTGCGTGACATGATAAAATTAAAGCCTATGCCCCAGCTATACTCAGTGGACAGGTGAATGTTTGCACTATTCGCCCCAATGTCAGTGAGCGAGCTTTCAGCCATTCCGACCCTGCTTTCTGGAACTCCATCCTAGAGACCTCCTGACTCTCTCCTTCCTCCCTCCCCACTTTCAAAACCCACCTAAAGATGTATTTCTTTGAGCGCGCTTTCAGTCATCCTTCCCCTCACTGACCTTCAGCAACTCCACCCCACCCCCAAACTCAGCTGCCCAGCCAGCATGTAAAGCGCTTTGAGATGTCCTCCAGATGTGAAAGACGTTACACAAATGTAAATTGTGTTGCATTGTATTATTGGCATCTCTTAATATTATTAAATATAGCTCGCAAATATAATCTATAAAAATCTGTTACCATTAACAGGGTCTCGTAAAGATTTGATTATATTTTTGATGCATTTAACTAAAACAACATGAAAACATAATTAAAACAAATGTGATCGCAATGGGTACAATTTCTTTTACATCAAAGCAATAACAATAAAATACCTAGAATTTCATTAACAATATGTGAAATAAATTTAATTTTAATTGTACAACAAGATTATTACAAATCTAAATTGCATTATTACTATTGTGATACTTAGAATTTATTAAAAAGAAGAATTCTTCTATAAATATATAACTAAAATCAATCCACTTTTATATTAGCACAAAGGAACTCTGTATAATCAGAAGACACATTGCATGATTGTTTACATTGTATAATATTAAAAATCCATGCTCGTTGATACTACATATACTTAAAGTGAGAGCACAATTTACAATGTACCGTACGCACGACAAATAACATACCGAATAATGTCTATCTTCTTAAAATGACAGTAGAATTTCTTGTGTATGTAACATAATAGCACATCTATTAATGTTTTATTAAAATTAGAACAGTATTAAAATGGCTGCATTATTTATATTAAACATAATTACTGTATATCCTGAATGATCTAATATATAATGAAAATCAATTACACATGTACAGCTGCACACATTAATAGGGATGAGGCAGATGGACAGATCACATTTTGTCCTCAAGGTTTGCGTGTGCTATAACTGGAGTCACATTACTGATACATTTAATTTTAGATGCCTTGCTACGATTAATAACTAAGAAAAATCAAGTAAAATGGTTCCATTGTAATACGCATTTTCTTAATCTTAGCAATTTTAGATTGTATAGTAATATTGCTTGAAGTGTTTTAGAAGCAAATTATTCAATATCCAAACAATTTTTCCCAAAAGTTCTTCCCACAGTTACTTAGAATATCCTAATACTGTAATAACCAATTGACTTGTTAAGTTATTTAACAAGTTATTTACAAGTCACTAAGGAATGGCAGCTTGTCATAGGAGCCTGATCCTCACCCATTCTGTTTCTATTGCCTTTCATGATGGAATCCCAGCCCCGCTACCCCTCCCATCATAGCCAATAGTTGCGGAGATTGGATTAAAAGATCTGCCATGATCTCATAAACTGGAAGAACAGGCTGGAATAGCTGAATGGCCGTTTCTGTGCTCCTATGTTTCGTCCAAGAAACATAATCACTCGTCAACGCACTTTAATATATTCTGTGAAGTGCTTTGAGACTTCCTCCAGATGTGAAAGGCACCCTACTAAATGTAGATATTATTTATTAGTTATTTACATTCCAAAGCATGCAGGATTTGTAGCCATTCATAATCGTGCTTCACGAAGTACAACAACAATAATAACTTGCTTTTAAACTCCACATCCCCCTCTCTGTCAGCTTCACCATTGTCAGACAGGCTTTCAGCCACGTAGTGCCTGCTCTCTGGTACCCTACTTTCCCAGCTCACCCTACTTTTTCTTCCTCCCTCCCCTCTTTCAAGTACACCTCAAATTGTTCCTCTTTAATTGCACTTTAGGTCATCTTTCCCCTTCTCAAATCCGACCCTCAACTTCGGTATCCAGGTTTAATTGTCAAGAACTTTAAAATATCCTCCTGAAGTGAAAGGGAGGGTTTCCCTTTCGCTTTGGGAAGATGTTTTAAACAACATCAAAATTACATTTATATAGCGCCTTTCACATCAGAAGGACTTTCCAAGCAAGAACATGAGAACATAAGAATTAGGAGTAGGCCATTCGGCCCCTCTAGTCTGCCGCGCCATTCAATAACATCATGGCTGATCTATTCTAACTCCACCTACCTGCCTTATCCCCATATCCCTTAATCCCTTTATCAAGAAATAAAGAAACAAGAAATCTATCAATCTCAGCACTTATATAAAGGGATATTGTAGGGTGACCTTCATGTCGAATAATGTCTTGGAGTGCTTTAAAGTATAAACACTCTGATAACTGAGCATGGATTTAGGAAAGCAGACAAGTGGAGTAACACACACTTTGAGGAAAGGAGTATTTTGAAAGGAAACTCTGAGATATAACAAGGGCAGATGTACTTTTAAAGGGGAATTCACAGGTACCAGGAAGTAGATTTGTATGAGGATAAAGAATGAAAGCAGAAATGATTGAGAGGTAGGTGGACAATTAAGGAGTTGGTTGCATCCTTAAAGAAATATGCTTCTATAAAAACCTTCATACAACAACAGTGACCAGGATCTAAGATTGTGAAAAGGGCAGATGATTCACCCACAGGATAGTCCAGCCTTTTGGCTGCCAAGGGCCGGATGCCCTGTTTGAGAAATGTTCATAGGCTCACAGCAATATTTTTGTGTTTTCTTTCCAGAAACATAACATAATACGTACATGTTATGGAGGGAGCGTGTGGGCCAGATGAAATGGAGGTGGTGGGGGGAGGGGGAACCACCTTAATCCAGAACATCAAGCGGAGAAAGGGATCCTAGGAAGCTAGTTTATTTTGGTTCCTACATTTAGGTATTACGTAACTGACTGCATTATTAACTCAGTGGGTAATAGCATTCTGTAGTTTAGTATGGAGCTGTGCAGATTAGGAGCCTTATCTTTGATCCTGTATCCATCCCAATTTAGAAAAGTAGTAGCAGTTGGCACTCTACTTTTCCTATTGTCTGACACATATGGAAACCCATCATCATGATTAGTGTATCCAAATCAAAATGAGAGTTCCATATACGCACTGCACCTATGAACGGAAATGTCCCTGTGTTTGCGATGGAGCGCTCGCTCTCTCCCTGGAGGGACACTCCCTGCTGTGTCCACACGGAGATTGGGTGAGGGCAGAGCCATGCTCGCTATGGCCAAGTAGCCTGGCAACGCTAAGGCCCACATTTTGTAAACTGACACATGAAGAACAGCCGCCTGGACAGGGTATCGGATCCTACCACAGAACCTACTGCCAACTCAGGTCAGCATATAAAGTAGAGGCAGGGGAAGAGGAGAAAATTGGAAATAAAATCTCCCTGCGCCGTAGCACGCCTTAGCCGTGCACCACAAGCATTTCTGAAGCCTCGCAAGTGCCTCAAAGCCAGTTCAAGAGCCTTTTCCCCTCCGAACTCCTATCTCCGTGAGCTTGGCGGTCGGAACATGAGAATGAATGTGTTTCATTTAGTGTTGGAGTGAGGGTAGAGAGGAGAGAGAGAGAGAGAGAGAGAGAAGGAGAGAGAGAGGTAGTAGGTTCTGCTGAGACATTTTAACAATGCCCCTCAGAGCACAGCCCACTGGCATGAACATGAAAACAAACCACTTGTTAGGCAGGGAAGAGAATGCATGGCTTTGTGCGGTTGAGCAGGAGGTGCGCCTGATGGGGCGGTGAGAGCGCCCCCGGGCGGCCGCTCGCGGGCACTGCGGGGCTCGGCTCTCTTTTCTTTGTGTGCGGTGAGAGCCGCTCGGAGCCCCTCTCGTGCTCTCTCTGTCTCACTGCGAAGCGCATGGACGAGCACCTCCCGCTACAGAGGAGCCCGAGCAGGACAGCAGCGCGTCTCTCCTTCGCTGTGCGTGTGTCTGTGTCTGTGCGTGTGTCTGTGGGTGTGGGTGTGTGTGTGCACGAGAAAAACAGTCAAGAAATTTCCTGCAACTGCGAGAAAAGTGTTGCCATTGACCTGACTTTGTAATAACAGACATTTATTCGGGACTCCAGAGCAGTTTTCTTTCGGAGATAGAAACAACTACAGAACTGTGCTGCACTGTGTGTGTGTGTGTGTGTGTGTGTGAGACAGAGACAGAGAGAGAGAGTGAGTGAGTGAGTGCTTTTTTTTTTGGAAGAGTTCTCTTTACTGCAGAGACCACAAACGGATGTGAGGCAGAGAAGGTGTCTCTCCTCCCCTCTCCTGTTTCTTCTTCTTCTTCTTCTACTCTCTCTCTCTCTTTTGCTTTTCACTCTCTTTTTGTGTGTGTGTGTGTGTGTGTGTGTTGTTGTTGCTCTGACCAACAAACAAACCAGAGAGAGAGAGAGAGAAAGAAAAAAAAAGAGAGGGAGCTGCTTGATGTGTTCCCAGAACAAATCATTGAAATGGACGTGAGGTTTTATCCACAGGCTGCTCAAGCCAACATCTCCACAGATACTCCCTGCCTGGGACCTGCACCCTGCTTAGACCCATACTATTGCAATAAGGTGATTTACTTCAGTTTTTTTTAAAAAATAGTATAATATATATGTGCATATATATATATATACATATATCTCTATATATATATATACATATAAAGACTATATGTGTATATTTGCAGATTGTATTGTTGCACTGTTGGGCTACAGGAAGAGCTGGTGTGAAAGTGCCAAGTGCTGGTTGGGCTGTGAGCAAACAGTTTGGTGGAGATTGGACTCTTTTGCTTAAGGACAGTGGTTAACTGAGGAGTTTGGGCTCTGGCGGTGTTGTTTCACTGGAAGCCCCACCGAAGCTGACTGGGATGTCAAGTGGGGGGACACACACACTCACACACATACACACATACACACACACACACACAGACCACCTACTACTACTGTATATGTACTGTACTCTCCACCTTACTATGTTTTGTTTCCCTGCTGCTTACTTTCGCCTTCATCACAGGTTGCTCGAGGCGCCGGGCTTCAAACTGCATTGATCTCTCAATAAACTAGTTGCCACTGGTACCCCCCCCCCTCCCACCCATCACCCCCCACCCCATCACCCCCCCACCCCATCACCCCCCCCCACCCCATCACCCGCAGCTTTCATTTGTGTCAGAAATCTGTGGCTGAAGCAGGTCGGGCTGATGGATGTGACATGTCCTGCCAGTGGCTAAGAGTTGTCTTTCTTAACAGTTTCAAATCTCTGGTACTCCGAAATAACTCTCTCTCTCTCTCTCTCTTCTCTGTCTCTGTCTCTCTCTCTCTCTGTGCTGCGTGTGATGTGTTGCTTGAGAGCGTAGGGCTGAGAGAAAGCGAAGATACTTTTATTTTCTGCAGATGGCTCTGGATGCTGAGCTGGATCTCGTGTAGCAAAGTGGGGAAATTCGATTCGGGTTTCGTGGACTTAAGGTTTTTAATGTTGTGCTGAAGTCTGGGATGGGGGAGTGGGGGTGTGGGGGGGTGTGGGGAGGAGAGAGTACACACTGGGAGAGGTGATGGGGTCAGTTTGCTCTGGTTCGCAATGCACTTGCTCACATTGTGCTCAGCGCTGCTTGCGGTGGTCCCAATGATAGTGTGTGTGTGTGTGTGTGTCTGGAACAGTGTTAAACTTACTCTTCGGAGCTGGTGCCCGTTGGAGCACCGTCAGTGAGAGTGCAGTGCAAACAGGGCTATGTTATGGCAACTGTGCGAGGCATCTCTTGTGCAAACAGACAAAAATGGATGGTATGTTGTTGCATATGGGTCAGGCTGCAGGACAAACAAGGGGGACCTTTCAAGAGCTTGGAGCAGAAGAGACGAAATATCCTCATTTCCATGTCTGTATTTGTAAGACAGTAGCAAAGGAAATTAAACTGGTGGTCCTAGTGTCCCACAAAGCTGTAAGTTGTATGGATTCAACAGTTCCATTAATTTTTCACACCCCATTCATCTCTGTCAGATAATGCACATTTAGTTTGAGGGACATTATTTATGGAGTATAATGGAATTATGTAATTCAGCTCCAATCGTTATGAGGTAGTAATACATTTCAGCACAAAGATTAAAATAGAACCTTTGTACTTTTTTTATTGATCATTTCTGATATCACTTTTTAATGGTAACTTTGTATGAAGCGTGAGTTAATTGAATTTTATGGATCACTTAGATCTAATAATAAAATTTACCTTGGGCAGAGCTGAGTTAATAAAGGTGTACCTATTATCTTATTTCAGTTTGCGACAAGCACAGAGCATGATAAATATCCATAAGTTCTCCAGAATGCCACAAAATAGGTAATTCTGTACAGTAGTCATGGCATGACATCACAAAGTTTTCATAAATACACTTTTGTGGCCAGCATCACACATCAAGGACTGCAAGTATTATCTTTCAGAGACATAAACAACATTGAAATGCAGAAAAGTCATTCACAAATATGCAAAGCAATACTCTTAATTTTTCACATACTGTAAAAAGCACACCCGCATGTAAAGCACACTCATGTATAACACACACAACCTCACATCTGTAAATAATATTTGCTCGAGGATATACTTGAGCTTGCATCCATTTTCTATTGCATTACATGTGATAAGGTACTTTAGAGTGTATTTCTGTTTTAAAAAAAGGTTTTAACATTCTGCATTGAGAAATGGACCTTAAACCCTGATGTGTAATATTACGGTATATTTTTAAGAATGAAAGCAACAGATATAAGTAAGTGAGCTCAAAACTGACATCTTGTCCTTGAGGTTTGTTTCACATTTTAAAGTGCCTCATGGGTTTGTCATATTATCTGGAGCTCAAGGCTGGATTACAGTATAACTCGCTCCCAGGTCTCCTTTGTTTATAATGTAATTATCTATAGTAATAACTCAGTCTTCATTTGAATGAATGAAATCTATAATTCATGAATTAATAAATTGTTTTACACAAATCATTCAATGCAAGCACACAAAACCTTTTAGTAGTTAAGAGTTAACGACAATGCTTCTCCAATCACCCCAGCAACAATGTTACTTTGCTATACACAATCGATTAGTTTTTTGGTCAACACAACCCTCAGAATTACATTAGCTTGTCTGTTGTGAGTGAGTAGTTTTTAACTTGCCAGTGCAATATCTTTCTAGCAAATTCTGGTTACTGATAACATTGAGTCCTGTTGTTCTTTGTACTGTAGAATGCTGGCGATTTGTTCAGTGTTGTTTAATGATTTCTTGTAAGAATTTGACTGTTGCAAGTAGGAGTTTACTCTTCTGAGTAAATGATGCATTGTGCTGTTCCCATCATATCATTACTAATAACTTGTATCACCTCTTATGACTTTTTTCACTAAGTTTTAAAAAAAACATTCAATCCTTTATGGATTTCAAACTCTAGAGCCTTTTTTTTTGCTAAATCAATGTCTAAAAATATTCTTGCAACATTAACTGTGCACATTTTAGCTTTTGAGGAAACGGTCACATTTGAACAAATGGGCCTATTTTGAAAGTACAGGTCACATAACGTTATAATCACATTTAGTGGTTAATAATGGACCCCTATCTGCACTCCCTTGATGGCTATAAAAGGCCGTTATGTTCATGGCATCAGTTCAGATACAGCTGCTGTGTGTTAATGATACATCATTGCTTGACTGATACACACAGAAGAGGTCGAACCTGAAGTGACCCTCAGAACACTTAACAAACTAATCCAGTTCCAAATTACATATTACCACCCCAGAAACCTAAGCATTTTTGGCATCACATTGGGCAGTCCCAAGTAAGCAGATAACCCAACAAGAACAGCTTGTGAGGTGTGTGATCAGTGTGAACTGGATAAGACACACTGGCAACAAAAGTCCTACAGAACTGTTGTTCTATATTCAATTTGTTGTAAATTGCAATCACAGTGTTAGTTATAAAACCTGGATAACAAAGCATTTTGATAGTTTCAAGAAAAAAAGTGCAAGGTTGATATTTATATATTGTTTGGCCAGAGAATTTTATTCAATTTTTTAATTAAGTTTTTTTTCGCAAACTTCATTATTTTATTACTGCCAATGACAGTTTTGCTATATTTGAACTCATTGTTTTGTTTTTGGTTGTTAAATTTTGTTTTGGGAGTTAAAGTTATTCACGTTTAGACTTTTGTAGTTAATCCATTCTCCATAAATTTTCAAATTGAGTTGATTTCAAGTTTGCCGTGTTCAAAGACTTGTCTTTTAAACTGTGCAGATCAAACCTACGAAAGATTCCAATATGTTTTAATGGTTTTGCCAGCATCTGAAGTGAATGGTAGTCGTTCAATTTGACACTTGTGCTGTGGAACTCAAGTTGGACTTTTTTTTCAACCTTTCTAATGCTATAACTCAAAAAGACAAGAACATGGAAGTGTTTGAAGATTGGATTACTTTAGAAAAGATGAGTTTTGTATCTTTACATATAGCTTTGATGTTTAAACTGATAGATAAGTCAAGGAGGGATGTTTACTTGTTATATACTCTGTTAGACAGGAAGCCCTTTAAGATTAGTTTTCTGCAAAGAACATCTTACCTTGTATGTTTCAGTTTTAGGATCAAATGCTATTTTAAGAGGAAATTAATTTTTTTTTAAAAAATTGTATATTAATTTCTAAGAACATTTGACTGCTCAGTAGTCTCTAAAGAAAAAGTGCTAACATTTTACACAGGAATTCAAAGGCTTAGAAAGCACCATCTTGGTCTATCTCCCAAAGTAAAAACAAATCCTATACTACTCTATCTCTCGTACCCCTCATTCAATTTCTTCGCCGAATAGCTATGCAATGCCTTATTTTTCTCCTGATTTTCTTCACATTACAATAGTAAATCCTTCATAAGGCATATGTTTTCATGACTTTGTCTTTTGCAAAACCACACTTGCATTTTGTAGACAAGCTTGAAATGCGCAGAACTTCGAACCTAATGATTAGAATTTGTAAAGTCACTAGACCAGTTAAACACTCTTATTTTTGTTTGTACTTTCTATTGCATTTTCTATACTTCCCCTGCATTGTTTGTGCATCATATCTTCAATGTTGAATTTGACACATATTTCAGCTTTCAATCTTGCACCTTTTCAATGCGCATTATACATGATGGTGACAGTTTGCTATGAAGACGGCTTTGGCAGCTATTGAAGTTTTTAGGTGATGAGTATTTTAGCAGCTGCTTGCTTGTGAATGAGAAATGATAAGTTATATTGTTTGTTTCAGACATGGTATTGCCGTTTTAACACAGCAAAATATATACACCATTTGTCAGTGGTGAGGCAAGCTTTTTATTCTTTGCAGAGCTTAGCTCTCAGGCTGATGTGAACTAGAATGGCATTGGTTATATGGTCAGCAAATGAATAGATCTACTTTGAATCTGGACTGCTGCCAATTTTGTGAGGACAAAAGAACCGACAAAAGAAAGAATTGCTAATGCACAACACAAACTGGGAACAATCTGAAAAAAGGGAAACTCAACAAAACAGAAAAAAAATGACCATATGGTAACACTGAATTTCAGATTGTTCAGTATCTAATGTACTTCT